GCGGTCATGACGGCTCGCAAGCGGTCGCTGCGCGAGATCCACGAGGCGTGCGAGAAGCGGGCGGCCGGAGTCGCGCCAGACGGGCTTCCAGCCGTCACCGACACGTCGGCGAGCGAGTTTGAAGCTGCCTCCGACGCAGACGTTGATGGCGCGAGGCCGACTGTTCCCGCGGCAGCGAGCGCAACGGCGCCTCCCGTGTACGACCCTGTCCCACTCGACTTCTTGCACACCCGCTCGACTCCCTTGACGGCTGGAGCTGCTGCTTTTACACCTTCGACGTCCGCCTCGCCCGTCGTCTCGGCCGCTCTGTCACCACCTCGCGGTCGACCAGGACAAAAGCGGCCAAACGCTTCCGCCGAAGAACCGGTCGACGACGTCGCGTACTATTTCTACCAAGCCGCGACGGGCCAGCCGATCTTCCTGTCTCCTCTCGACATCAAAGTCCTCAAATCGCACTACGGGACTTATCAGGCCATGCCGAACGACATCGAGGTGGTCGTCGAAGGCGCCGACGAAGGGTCGATGAACGACGAGCTGCGCCGGCGGTGCAAGTGGCTCGGTCACTTGCCCGTCGCGAGCGACGTTGTCTTTATCGAGGCCGACTTGACGTCGGTCGTCCCGAGAAAGGCGCTCGAACCTTACGCGGCGGCCTTACGACAACGGCGAACACGGCGGCGAGACAAGGCCCGGAAGGAGGACCGGGCCAAGTTGCGGAGCGAGCAGAAGGCGGCCGAGGCGATCCCGGTACATCAGTCTACGTACGCGTACGGCGCGCCGGGCGGGTTGCCGTTCGCGTTCGCGGCGGCTTCGAGTTGGGACGACGAGCACGCGTTCCCTTCCGCGGCCGGACCCGGACTCGCCTCCCGCCGCGATTCGAACTCGGACCGCGCCGGTTCAGTAGCCGAAGCCGCTCCGTCACGACCGGCTCCGGCTCCCATCAACCGCCCCTCCTTCGCCTCGGCAGTACACGCTTCGTCGCGCTCAAACGGCGGTGGTGCCTCGAACGCCGCCTGGGACGAAGTGTTCGAAGACCGCTGGGGCGAATTTGAGGAAGAGCTGGGCCGGCGCCGAGCTGCTTCACCGAGAACGGCCAGTACGGCCGGGACCAACACCCCCGCCGTAGCTGACGGCGGCGGTCAAGGCAAGAAGGGAAAGAAATCAAAGAAGCTGACTCTCAGCTTGAGCGGTTCGGCGCTCCGCGGTGCCCGTTGACCACATCCGCCAATCCCTCTCCACCTTCTTGGTTATTCTCTTCATCGCCCGTACCGTAGATCGAGGACCTCGCACCTTGTCATGTCGCTTGTATCGCATAATCGAATTGCAGACTGTATTTCACTGAGCAGACCACCTCGATTCCTGGTGTCGAATGACCGCAGAGCGGCCAGCCTACTCTCCCTTGACGCGTTGATCCTGGTTCTGGATCTTGCCGTCGACCGGGATCGGTTTACCGCGAGTCTTTTCGGCCTGACGAGAGTTCGGCGAGGGGACAAAGCTGGCACAGGGCGGAACGTCAGCTTTTTGCCTTGTACATCAAAGAGTCATGAGGGTAGGCCCGCACCGCTTCTTCAGTGCCAAGAGCATGAGCCGGAACCAGTACTGCGCGCAAGCGGATCTAGGTCAGTGACGACGAAACATCGCTCTCTACCGACAAGTCAACCATCGAATACGAAGAAAGCGCACAAAGTTGAGCGAATTGGCCATGATGTTGAGCGCGAGGTACATCCACCTGATGGCGCCGACTTCACGGACGCGCAACGCGTTCAGGCTCGAGTTGCTTGCGGACGGGACGAGGAGCTTGATGAGCTTGTACGAGTTGAACGTGCCAAAGCCGAGCCGGACGACAATGTAGCTCAGGCTGTCATTGTGCGGAGATATTCGTCAGCGTGTCGGGTACGCTTCGGAGTGGGCGAAACGAGGTGGACGTACACGAGGAAGAGGCCGTTGACCATCTGGCCGATCGAGCCGGTCATGTGGAGCTTGTCAAACAGCCAGTGTGCGTTGAGGAACTGATACGGCAGTCACAGAGTCAGCAGGAGGCGCGTGAGCTGTGATCAAGTGCAAGCGAGGCTCACGATCGTAGAGAGCTCCCACTAGTCGGGGGAGGCGCGCGCAAAGTGTCACGAGTCTCGATCAGTTTCCATGGTCCCGCAGCAAGCGTTCCAACGTGACGACGTACAACGAGGAAGCTCGGACCACACCAGAGGACGAACGGCCGAAGAGTAAAGAGGAACGCGGTCAGGCAGACGGCGCCGTGCAGGAAGAACCCGATCCCTTGGGTTCCGATGTGGCGAGCCGTGACGAAAGCGTCCTGCGAAAAACGCTGTATGAGCTCCTCTGCGCTCTGGACCAAGCACAGTCCTCGAATCAGGCAGGGAACCGACCCAGATGAAGTAGCCGATCGCGATGGCGCTCAGGCGTTGCTCCGGCAGAGCGACGCCGTACAGCGGGTCGGCGGTGAGGGCCGGGGATGGGTGCCGGAGAAGGTAAATGGCTATAGGAGCGGCGACGAATGCGTACGCCCACCCGACCTGAGTGTAGGTACGACCGACCGTGAGTAAAGCCGTCGTCGAGTGTTTCGCTCGGGAGGCCGGAAAGGGGCATACCATGTGCAGGTCCCAGTCATCCTTCTTGACGCGGTTCGTCGGGTAGTACTTGCCAAACACTCTTGGGCTGACGGCTGCGCTGAGTTTCTGGAGTCCGAATGAGACGATGCAGCTCGAGACGGCGAGGTGAGCGACTTGGGGGAGCGCTGTGAAGCCGAGCCGGTCGCCGAGTGGCCGCGCGAGGGCGACGAGGGCCGGGTAGGGTTCGAGTGCGCGCGATTCGATCCAGGACATTCTTGGTGGCTGTGGCTGTAACAGCGAGAGAGAGCTGCCTGTAGCTGTAGGGCTGGAATGGAAGTTGGAAGCCGAAGCGAGATGGGGTGGGGCAGCGACGTCAGTCCACCGTCAGCTGGCGGGCGTGCAGGTGCACCGTGCAGGCTGCAGTGGGCACCCTCTTGCCTCCTACCTTACCTCACCTCGTGAACGTGTGTAGCGCTCAGACGATGGGGAAACGCGTCGAAAGTGATCGACTCGCCAGTACTCGCCGTCCGCGAGATGATGGAACGGCGCACTCTGGTTGCCCCTGACTCGCCAACTCTCGCACTCGCACTGGACGCACGATAGAGGGAGTACCAGATGGCTCCGATCCTGAGCTGCCACCCGGGCTCGCTCAACGCGTTCGCACTCAAACTGAAACGTCGGGTTCACTTCCCTTTTTTTTGGGTGTACTCGCGTCGACGCTGACATTAGGGACACTGCAGCAAGCGACACGGTCACCACTATCAAGGCGAGGGCAGCGCGCAAACTCGCAATACCCGACGAGGGCGCAGACATTGTCCTCAAGTACCTCTGGTGTGACGTCTTCTACACTCTCGACGACGGTGAGCCCTTCCCCGAGATTTCCGAGAATCGACTCGCGACTGACAAGCCCCGCGAGCCACGCGACTAGACGACGACTTTGACGTGTTCCTGACGCGCCACCAAAACACGCCCGAAGTGACGCTCCTCCTCTCTTCGCCCCACATCCCGACCCAGAACCCGTCGCTCGCGTCCGTCTCGTCGCTCCCGCCGAGTTCAGCGTTCTCCTCCTCGTCCGGCGTCGGCGGACCTCGCGGCGACCCGGACGCCTCGTCGCTGTATTCGTCCCGGTCTTACCTGTACGGGAGGGGCGAACCGGCCCGCGATCACCGCCACGCGAGCACGAGTCTGCACCTCGTCGTGCCCAAGCATGACCACCTACACGCGGGAGGAGACGACGCCGGGAGCGTCAGGTCGGGCAGGAGTGGCAGGAGCGGTCACAGCCGGAGGAGCGGCAAGAGTACCGGCGGCGCCACGCTCGGAGCCAAGACGCGCGCGGGGCTCAAGGGGCTCGAGCCGGCAGTCCCGGAGCACAAGATCAAGTTTGAAGAGTTCCACAACCAGGTGCGCGCCTGACCGTATGGCCCGATGAGGGTTCTGCCGAGCCGATGATCCAGCGTGGCTGATTCTTTTTGTCCTCCCGATTGACAACACAGCTCGGCGTCCGAACGTTCATCGGCTCGATCGGACCGGTGGAGAACGTTCGCATGATGGTGAGACGACTGTTGGACGGGGTCGGAAGAAGGGATGCCACGGAACTGACAAGAAACCCGCTGCCGCCACAGATGAAATCTGGCCACCGCGCGTGCTACATGTCGCGCGCGTTCGCCCAGCAGCACAACTTTATTCCGAAAGACGCGGCGCCCGGCTTTTACGGCTTTTCCGGGATCACGAACCTCGGCACTTGGCCCATCACGGCAAGTGACCGTTTCCTCGCACTTTGTCCCGCGGACGATCATGTGCTGACTTCTTTCCCGCGGAGTGTAGGTTGGTAGCAAGACGGTGAACCAGCAAGTCATGCTCGTCGAGAACTCGTACTTCCCCGTCATCCTCGGCCGGTATGTCCCTTCAGTCCTTGTCTCCCCAAACTCGGGCTCGCACTGAATGAAGCGACCGCCTCTTTCTCGCGCAGCTCCTTCATGGAGCGTCGAGGCGTCCGGACAGATCCGCTCGATCAGACTTCGGTCGTCTTTATGGACACGAACGAGGTGATTCACACCGATTTGGTGATTGTCAAGGATGGGAATGGGACGGTGATCCCGATCAGTTGAGGCGCTCCATGTGTCCGGCTTGAAACATACACTTTGCATTTGCAGTCTTCTCTTCGGGCCCTTCCAGAGAACGCGATGGCGGGAAGTGAGAGTGACTGATGCGAGTGCTCTGGGCCAGGCGGTCTGCGAATCGCTTGCATGCTGTGCGCAGTGAGGCTGCAAGATTACCGGAAGGATGCCTGTCCATGCCATCTCTGAATAGCGTGTAAGGCTCCAGATCATCTCTCGTGCCGCACTCAGGTAGCCGTTGATGGGCGCATCACGTGTACGCGGAAGAAGTTTTTTTCAGATCTGTACGACTACTTGTGTTCGGTTTTGGTATAAGTCGGCACTGATAGTTCAGTGGCAGAATGCGGTTTTCCCATGACCGCGGCCCGGGTTCGATTCCCGGTCTGTGCAGTTCTTTTTGCTCAGGCGGCACAGTCAGGGGCTTATGGCCGCCGCTCCGTCTTCCACTCTCGAGGCCGTTCGATAGAGTGGCTCCGGCAGCAAGACACCCACTCGTACGGCGCTCAGCGGCAGCGCGCTTAGCTGTACGATCTGCATTTTGCGTCATGCAGTGCGCGGTGCGCGTCCACCCTCTCAGTTTAGTTAGTCGTAGCGCGTTACCATCGTCGGCAAAAAGCTGAAGTAAGGCGCGACGCTCAGAAGAACGTACAACTGCAGCACCGGGCCTCCTGAGGCGTGGCGGACAAAAAATTAGTGATGTCAGTGGGATTCGAACCCACGCCGTTTCCGACTAGCGAATTCCGAAGAACCTGAAGCTAGCGCCTTAGACCACTCGGCCATAACACCCAGATAGAAGTTATGGCTAAAACCAAGCGTACACATTACACTGTGGCTAAAAAAGACTCTTTCCTCCTTTCCCTGCCCGGTGCGAGTGCTGTCGACCTCGTGCTATTGCTCAAACGAGCTCTCTGACCACCCCGACGCTCTCGACCCCCGCAAGAGCTCCTTCTGCGCACAGTCGCACTCAACCTCACCAGCTGCCTCCGCGCGACGGCTGTTCCCTTCCCGCATCCTCTGAAGCAATGGCCGACAAGCTGCGGCTGCAGCTCACGCTGGGGATCATAAAGCCGTCTGTCGCTGCTCATCAGCCCCACGTCCAAGGTCAGCACTTGCACACTTCAGTCATGCGTCGAAGCGGTCGTTGCCGAATGTGGTGCCAGACTCTGCTGGCCCTAATGTGCGCACCGCCAGAGCTAAAGTTCGACTCGGCGGTCGTACAGATATCATGAAGGAGATCAAGCGAAGCGGCTTAGAGGTACGCTCACCGATGCACCTTCTTTGCATTTCACTACCACAACTCACGACTTTGCCGTGACGAAACGCAGATCGTGCGAACTAAACGGCTGATGTGGCGACAAAGAGAGGCAGAGGAGGTGCGCTCAAGTGGGATCATTCTGCGGTCGAGCGGAAAGGGCCAGGCTGACGATTTGACTCCCAGTTTTACGGAGAGCATCGAGGTGAGTCCCGAATGATGGTGCGCGCTGCGGACTGAAGCGCGGTGGAGCTGAATCTCGCTCGCTCATGAAAAGGGCGCTTCTACTATCCGCGACTTGTGAGTGAGGCCCGCAAGCCGCAGCGTCAGCACGCGCGAGCAGCTCCGCTCCAACGACTGAGGCATGTCCGCCTCCCTTCCCCATGCAGGTCCAGCACGCCGTGTCCGGCCCGCTCGTCGCGCTCGCGCTCTGTGCACCAGATGTAATCCAGAAATGGCGTAACCTGATCGGTCCGACGCGCGTGTTCGAGGGGCAATGGGAACGCCCCGAGTCATTACGGGCTCGATACGGCCTAAGCGATACTCGGAACGGCTTCCACGGTGAGAGTGCTTTCTTTGTCACACGACTCGCGCCTGTCCGCTGATGTTCGCGTTGATAGGGGCCGACTCTCCTGAGTCGGCGGACAAGGAACTCAACTTGATTTTTGAGAATTGGGATACCAGCTGGTGGCTCGAGCAGCGGTCGCAAGGGGCAGATCTATCGTAAAGCCTTGCAGGCAAGGCATTCTTTTCGTCGCTGTCCTGTAGAGGGCATGTCTGCCTGGATACTGCACTCTGCACGGACGAGGGGCGGCACATGCTCCTCGGCATCGCGTCCTCTGCAGCGGCTCTCCCCCACTGTGTAACAGGGTTGCCATGCGACGTCGCGCTCTGTTTCGAGACCGCCTGTCTACGGTCGGAGAGAGCTTGGTGTGGCTCGTTAGGGATGTCCAGCAGGTTGTGAAGCAGCCGATGACGCAGAGCGGAAGTGCCAGCTCTTCGGCCGAGCGCATTCGTGTGCAGCTATTAGCAGCAGGAGGCTTGCCCATTAGTACGGTGCTAATCGGAGTCACGGCGGCTCAGGAAGGTGAAGGGCCTGAGCGAGGGATTTCGCGTTTCCTCCTCAGCAGGATCCGGGTCGCACAGTCGCTCTCCACTCCCAACCTCACGCTCCAGCCTCTTTCGTAGAGCGCAGTCGTCAAACATACCGCAACTCAGCTCACGATGCAAGCTCGGGCACCCGACCGAGCTCCAGAAAGCGGACCGACCGTCGTCGCACCTCCGCCGAGTGGGGTCGATTCAGAGTTGCTCCGGTTAATCAGCTCGACCGCCCTCCAGAACAAGCTCGACACGATCGTCGGGCCCAAAACACTCATCTTGACCCCGAGCCTCGCCGGTCCTCTCGGCCTCGTCACTGAAGTCGGCCTGCTCAAGGTCCGTTTCCCGTCAAGTGGGGTGCGCAGATGACGGACCGCTGACCGCGCACTCGGCTTGACAGAACAACCATGCCGTTACAAAGATGTTCTGGCTCGAACCCGGTCCATTGTCGCAAGCCGAAAGGAACGTCGTCTACCTCTGCCGACCCGAGGTGAAGTACATGCGCATGATTGCAGGTGAGCTGTCCTTCGCTACGAGACATTCCGCGCGTCCCGGGCATACGAAGCCTACGCCTCTTTGATCGCTTGCGAAAGCGCGCGTGCTCGAAGGTGGTTCCGTCATGTTAGAGCCGGAGGGGCGTACCTTCACCTGGGACCCACGGAGTCAGGCTTCGCCTTCGGAGCGTCCTGTCATAGCGCGAGCGCGAATCAGCGAGAACCTCAGCGACTTGCAGACTACTACCCGCTCGAGAGCAACCCGCTGACGCTTAGCGGCCCTCGTGTGCTGCGCAGACCAAATCCGGACAACGCCTGATCCGACGCAGCACCGATACCATTTGCTCGTCGTGCCGCGCATGACGAGTCTCTGTTCGACCATTCTCTCGGATCTCGGCGTCCTCGGCTCGCTCGAGATACAGGAACTGCAACTCGGCTTGATCCCGCTCGAGAAGGATGTCCTGAGCCTCGAATACGAGAATGTCTGGCGGACGGTCGAGCTGGTGAGCCGGGTACCGCCAATCACGCGCGTGCACATCGATTGACGTGAACGTTCCATGGATCAGGACGGCGATACGTCGCCGATCTACGACCTCGCACGGAGCATTATGACCTTGCAGCGCGCATTTGGCCCAATCCCTCGCTTGATCGGCAAGGGCGATTCCGCCAGAGTGCGTTCATTTCCTGCGGCTGCATCCCCATTGACGGAGACTGACACAGCCTCGCGTTGCCCGCAGCGTCTTGTTGACCTGCTCAAGCGCTTTCGGGCCGAACAACCTTCGGCGATGGCACAAGGCGCGCCGTTGGCGAACGGAGTCATTGACTCCATGATTGTCCTCGACCGTCAAGTCGACATGGTGTCGGCTCTCTGTACCCAGTTGACGTACGAAGGACTGGTCGACGAAGTCGTCGGGATCAAGCACTGTGCGTCCCGATTCGCAGACCGCGCTCTTGGCTCTCTTAGCTAAGCGCAACCCCAATGTAGCGCACATCGACGTCGACCCGAATCTGCTCAATCCTCCGCCGCCCGCCTCGACTTCGACTCCAACGCAGACCTCAATGAACGTCCCGACGCCGCGAAAACGCAAGCATCTCCTGTCGTCCTCGACAGATCAGCTCTTCTCGGAGCTGCGCGACCAGAATTTTGCCGTCGTGGGCAGTGTATTGAACCGTACGGCGCGGCGACTGAACGAGGATTACGAGAAACGGCATCAGGCCAAGACGGCGGCCGAGTTGAGGCAATTTGTCGGGCAACTCGGCGGGCTGCAATCGGAGCATCAGGCCCTGCGATTACGTGCGTATCTTTTCGATATTCGAGAGCGCTCAGAACTAACCGAGCGTGCTACACAGACACGAATCTGACCGAACAGATCATGGGCCTGACTCGGACAGACGAGTTCAACATCGCTCTGGAGGTTCAGCAGAGTACGTCTGAAGCCATCTGAGGCTACATGCACCTTGTCACTGACTGAAAGGTTGCCTGTGCTCCGCAGACTTGATCGCCGGCGTTGATCTCGCCACTCAGGAAAACTCGATACGAGACCTCATCAACCTCGAAGCGCCCTTGAGGACGGTCCTCCGCCTGATCTGCGTGTACAGCTTGATCTCTGGTGGGATCAAACAGAAACTTCTTGAGGAGTTCAAACGCGACCTTCTCCAGGTAGGCTGTTCCCAGTGCGACGCCCGGCGGGCGCTGCTGACCCCGTTTCGGCTGCAGACTTACGGCTTCGACTACCTACCCCTTCTCCTCGCCCTTGAGCGACTCAATGTTCTCACGCGCGCGCAACCGTCATCTCGCTCCGCCCCGAAACCGCCATTCGCGCAGTGTCGAAAGCCGCTCCGCCTGATTGTCGACGACGTCGACGAGCAGAACCCGCAAGACCCGTCTTACGTCTTTTCCGGGTACGCGCCTCTGAGTGTTCGATTGGTACAAACTGCGGTCACACCGGCAGGCGTCGCGAACGGCGTGTCGCGAGGATCAAACAGTCTGAACGGTTGGCGAGGAATCGAAGAGATCGTTCGGGCGCTGCCGGGCGCGACCTTCGACGAACGGCAAAAGGCTGATGACATGGCGATGCAGCGACGTGCGCTCCGTCGTTGCGATGTGATCTGAGCCGAACGGGAGCTGACCGGCGTCTCTGGGCAGTCTCTTCGGGCGAGGTCCCGACTACGGTCGTTTGCTTCATCGGTGGCATCACTTTCGCCGAGATCTCGGCACTACGGCTACTCAACAGGCAATTACCTTGTGAGCTGCCTTCCCTGAGGCCCGTCCCTCTCGCTTCACGGCTGTACTGACGAGTTGAGTGCGCTCTCAGCTCGGAACCTCCTGATTGTCACGACCGACACGATCACAGGCTCATCGCTTCTGACATCCTTGACACCAGAGCCGTTACGTCGAGCAGGAACCGTATCGGCGCGCGAGTCAGGCGCGTCTTCCTGAAATCAGCTCGTACACTCTCGGACCGCCTTGTTTTGTTATTGCATCTCGCGAAAAGACCGCGCCCGGGAAGGCCTCTTGGCTACACTTCGCGCTGCCGAAAGAGCTGCCCGGATCT